ATATTTTGCTGTATGAATATTTGAATATGCAATACACCGAAATAAAGATCAGAGCCTCTACTTTTAAACAAAAAATCTAGCTTAAAGCATTCTTTTTTTATCAACACTTGAATATAGGTAGGTTTCATAAAAATGCATAATTTTGAGCAAAAAGGTGAGAAAATCACATTTTTATCAAAAACTACATCTGGGTAATATTCAGTACGATTATCAAAGCATAAATCCAGTAAATCGCTTCCATCAACACCTCCAAAGCTTGCACAGACATATATCACTTCCTGGATCAACATTTTACTCCGTAACATTATGCAGTTTTCATTTGTATGCTGTCTATTGCTGATGATCGCATTATTTTTCATATGCATCTGTTTACATAAGAGATCGCTCGTTTCTCCGTCCTGTACACGTGTGTTTTTGTTTGGGAGGTTTTGTACTCGTTCAGAAGATGTGTAATAGCGCCCCCGAGTGTATAACAGTGAAAACACGAAAAGCCGTAAAAACTCATCTTTGGCGGGGAAGCGTTGTCTTCTAAAAGACGAGATAACTCGTCAATGGCGGGGAGAGAGGTAAGGGAGTTTGCAAATGTGATATTGATTTAATACAGCAGTCGACGTGTTTTGATACCGGTTTCTTTTCTCCACTTCCTCCACCAGCTGGTCAGTGCTGAAATCTCCTCGTACGGCGAGGATCAGACTCTTGATGGTGTCCTCGGAGCAGTCGACATCCAGCAGACCCCCGACCACCACCGGCAGCCGGCTGGGATTGACCTGCAGCAGCGCAAACACACATGTGTGAACTCTCCAGATCAGCAGCGTGTGCATCTCGTGTTCAGGGCTTTCAGCGTACCTTCTGTACGTAGATCTCAATGTATTTCTGCAGGCTGTTGCGGTACAGGTAGAGCACAAGATCGTGGACGAAATCGAAGCGGTCGCACACGATGATGAGAGGAAGCTGATCTGTGAGTTTGGCTTCCTGTGCAACGACACAAATACAAACACAAATGTGACCCTGCAGCACAAAAGCAGTGTTAAGTCGCTGGGGTATATTTGTAGCAATAGCCAACAATACATTATATGGGTCAAAATTATAGATTTTTCTTTTATGCCAAAAATCATTAGGATATTAAGTAAAGAACATGTTCCATGAAGATATTTTGTAAATGTCCTACCGTAAATCAGTGGTGGACAGTAACAAAGTAGTTTTACTTCACTACTGTACTTAAGTACATTTTTCAAGTATCTGTACTTTACTGGAGTAGTTTTATTTTGAGTAACTTTTACTTCACTACATTCCAAAGCATAAGATCGTAATTTTTACTTCACTACATTTCATAAAACATATCGTTACTCCTTGTAATATATCACGTGCTCCGAGACGCAGAAGCGGTGTCTGATTCATGAACGAACTGATTCTTTTCAATGAACCTTTTAAATCGGTTCGCAAATCGCACCAAACGATTCATTGACGAATTGGAATGAACCGATTGCAGTTGTTCTCGAGTCGACAACTCACTGATTCAAATGAACCGTTTAGTGCGAGTCTCCAGTGAACTGAATTCACAAGTGATGCTGCGTTCAAGTCCTCCTGGGACGTTCATACTTACGAGTTGACAAGTCGTAATTATGACGTCAGGTGCGTTCAAGTCAGTTTAGTCGACACAAGATGGCGGTGTACCTTCTTTTAATAAATTACAAGAAAATACAACAGGGTCTGTTAACTCTGCTTATAGAAAATGAAGAGCAAAGAATTCGCATCAGGCGTGTTTTGCGTTTTGAATATTTTTTTTTAGACCAGGATCCAGGATCAACAAATGCTAAAATACATAGATTAAAAAAAAACTGTTACTAAATGCAACATGCAACATGGCAAATCAAAAGATTGTTCACCTATAGGTGCAAAAATTATAGCATTTTTTAACTTGGATTTCATTAACTAGCTGCGTAACAAGAACATGACCAATTTAAGTTTATAGGACAACTAAACTATCAATTTGAACAAAAATTTACCGTCAACTACAGACGTTGCATCCATCGATTCCGCCATGTTTCTCATTGACACGCCCCCAACTCGGAAACTCGGGGCTTAAAGAAAATTTGAGTTTCCCACTCGTAATAACGACCTTGTGGTGGCGTTCATGTGCGTTCAACTCGTAAATACGATCTATCCGACATGACTTGAACGCACCATAAAACCAGAGTCTCTGTTTTAGGTCAAAAACCATTAAAATAACACAGATTAAGTTAAATAAAATAACTCATGCACGTTCATATTTCCAGCTGCTGTAGCATTAGCAGTTTTACTAAAATGCTATGCATTTATCCCTATGTGATGTATGTTTTTATATTGTTTGTCCGCACACATAGCCTAAGTTACTATGTATCTGGATCAACTAGACGAGTAGGCAAATGTTTATTCATAACCATGCTGAAAATAAGTCACTAATGTTAGCTGATGCTAACTGTCTAGCTAACGAGCTTGCTGGTGCTAAATTGAAGAAAAAAAAGCCAATATAAAATTAAATGATAAAAGTAGCTTATATAAAACTGTCAAATAAACATTCATCTATCGTTACTTTTTACTTAAGTACATTAAAAATCAAGTACTTTTGTACTTTCACTCGAGTAAAATTGAAAACTGAGTACTTTTACTGGAGTAATATTTTATTATACGGATCTGTACTTTTACTCAAGTACTTGATTTGTGTACTTCGTCCAACACTGCTGTAAATATATCAAAACTTAATTTTTGATTAGTAATATGCATTGCTAAGAACTTAATTTGGACAACTTTAAAGATGATTTTCTCAATATTTAGATTTTTTGCACCCTTTATTCAGCTTTCAGATGATGTATAAATCTCAACTTCACAAAACTGACCCTTATGACTAGGGATGCACGATATATCGGCCACCATATCGGTATCGGCCCATATCAGCTCATTTTTTCTGTTATCGGTATCGGCCTGATAAGAAAATTTGGCCGATATCTTAAAGCCGATAAATAATGCATTATTTCCTTCAGAGACACTTCAGATGCGCGCTGTTCGTTTGCAGCCTTTTGTGCAATTGTACATTGTAATATTGTGTTTATTTGATGTATATCTGATTTATAGCATTTTTTAACTTGGATTTCATTAACTAGCTGCGTAACAAGAACATGACCAATTTAAGTTTATAGGACAACTAAACTATCAATTTGAACAAAAATTTACCGTCAACTACAGACGTTGCATCCATCGATTCCGCCATGTTTCTCATTGACACGCCCCCAACTCGGAAACTCGGGGCTTAAAGAAAATTTGAGTTTCCCACTCGTAATAACGACCTTGTGGTGGCGTTCATGTGCGTTCAACTCGTAAATACGATCTATCCGACATGACTTGAACGCACCATAAAACCAGAGTCTCTGTTTTAGGTCAAAAACCATTAAAATAACACAGATTAAGTTAAATAAAATAACTCATGCACGTTCATATTTCCAGCTGCTGTAGCATTAGCAGTTTTACTAAAATGCTATGCATTTATCCCTATGTGATGTATGTTTTTATATTGTTTGTCCGCACACATAGCCTAAGTTACTATGTATCTGGATCAACTAGACGAGTAGGCAAATGTTTATTCATAACCATGCTGAAAATAAGTCACTAATGTTAGCTGATGCTAACTGTCTAGCTAACGAGCTTGCTGGTGCTAAATTGAAGAAAAAAAAAGCCAATATAAAATTAAATGATAAAAGTAGCTTATATAAAACTGTCAAATAAACATTCATCTATCGTTACTTTTTACTTAAGTACATAATGCTAACCTAACATATAAGTATATAAACCATAAATGTTTAAGAATCACTTAGGCTACCTCTGTGCGATTCATGATCAGGTAGATCTTAAATTGCTCACGCCAGAAAACTACTAATTGACCAAAATGCTTCGTTTGACTTTTCGGAGATCATCTACTCTTCCCTGTGGATTTCCTCTGACCTACTTTCTCAACGATCTGAATTTCTGCGTATTGAATTTTAGAATATTGAATTTGATGTTCCGAATTTCCTCTTCATCTTGAAAACTTGAAGCTGTATTTTTAAAAACTGGATATTTGCAGTCTAAGATTTCAGAACAAAAAAATTCGCTGTTTGAAAATACATGTCTATAAAACTCTGCCGTAAAGACATTCAGTTGTGTTAAATTTCAAATGTTTCATATTCAAGTTAAAAAAAAAAATCAAATTCAGAACTCAGAAAACTACTAATTGACCAAAATGCTTCGTTTGACTTTTCGGAGATCATCTACTCTTCCCTGTGGATTTCCTCTGACCTACTTTCTCAACGATCTGAATTTCTGCGTATTGAATTTTAGAATATTGAATTTGATGTTCCGAATTTCCTCTTCATCTTGAAAACTTGAAGCTGTATTTTTAAAAACTGGATATTTGCAGTCTAAGATTTCAGAACAAAAAAATTCGCTGTTTGAAAATACATGTCTATAAAACTCTGCCATAAAGACATTCAGTTGTGTTAAATTTCAAATGTTTCATATTCAAGTAAAAAAAAAAAATCAAATTCAGAACTATGTTAAATGCCACATAATATTCAGTTTTGTTAAATGACACTTGTCAATAATTCAAATTTACACGATACAAATTCATTTAGTTTTGTCATATTATAAGCTCCATACATCACAAAGCAAGCTACATTTCTATTGTCAAAAGAATTATAATGCATTTAGACATTCAAAGCACTAGAGTGCAAGACACCAATAAACAATTAATGGTTACACTTTATTTGAAGGTGTCTTTGTTACAGCGTAATTATACATTTAAGTACTGAGTAATATTAATTAACTACATGTACTTACTATAGGGTCAGGATTAGGGTTACTTGCATGTAATTATGCATAATTAATTGTTATTATAATAGTAAGTACATGTAACGTGTAGCAAGGACACCTTAAAATAAAGTGTTACCCAATTAATAAACAACTATTATATTATGAATTATTATCACAATTATAATAAAAGAGCAATGCAAAAGGGGGAAATTGTTATTTATGTAATTCAATTGTTAACGATTAAATAAAAAAATGTAAAATGAAGCTAATGTTGAATGTTTAATTTATTGTTATTAACTCAATTCAAATAATTCAATTGTTAATAATTAAATTGTAAACTGTACATTTAAGCCAGCGTTTAATGTTTACTGTTATTAATTAAATTCAATGTATTCAATTAAAATAAACTGTTAATTGTTAATAATTAAATGTAAAAATTTAAATATAAGCTAAATGTTTATTTTATTGTTAATTATTCAATTCAGTTCAGTCGATTTAAATAAATTCTCAATAATTAAAAATGTAAATTTAGATAATGTTGAATTTTATTTTATTGTTATTAACTATTTATTTTAATTAACTGAATGAATTTAATCAGCAATAAACATTCAATATTGGCTTAAATTTAAAATTTTAATTTAATTATTAGCTATTTATTTTAATTAATGATATAATAATAATTAATTATTTTATAAACAAAAAATAGTAATAATTATTGAGTATTAAAATAACAATACAATTATTTCACTTAAAACTTAAAAAATACAATGCAAATATTTACATTTTCATTTTCTTTTATTTCTTTTCTACTTTTGTATTTTTTTTAAACAATATTTCAGCATTTTCAAACCTAAAATCTGCCAAATAAATGTACATTTTTAATTTCATTATTAGCAATTTATTTTAATTAATGGATTGAATTGAATTAATAACAATAAAATAAACATTAGCTTAACATTTAAAAAAAATTAATTAACCACTTAATTTAATTGATCTAATTGAGTTGAATTAATAATTAAATAAAACAATTTAAATTAAGCTAATGTTGAATGTTTATTTTATTCGTATTAATCCAATTGAATTCATTCAATTAATTAAAATACATTGTTAATAATTAAATAAAAAACTGTCAATGTACGCTAATGTTTATTTTATTGTTATATATTCAGTTCAACTCATTAAAATAAATGGTTAATTAAATGTAAAAATGTAAATGTGAGTTATATCTTATTTTATTATTATTCATTTAATTCAATAAATGAAAATATATTGTTAATTTGATTTTAAAAATCTATTTTGTTTTTATTTATTTTATTAATGGTGTTATTATTTTTATTACCATAACTTATCATCTGTATTAATATTGAGTGTTGCGCCAATAAAAGTCACATATATGATGACAGAAGCACTGAACTGGATTTTATGGAGCTGACTGCATTAATGCGTTTGGTTTCTCGAGTCTCGAGTACCTTGAGGAAGTTCTTGACGCGCTCGGCGTTGTAGCAGCTGCTCTCTCGACAGATGCGCTCCACCTCTTTGATCTGCCCCGTCTTACACGCCGCCTGAATGTACTTGAAGTGCACATCGGGGTCCTGACTGAAGTTCACGATAGAGCCCAGAAAATAAAACAGACCTGAAAGAGACCCACAGAAATGAGGAATCGTTCAAAGCCGCCTCGAACCCCCCTGCAGCTCGTGAGCGTCTCACCCTCGAAACTCTTGAAGGACTCGAAAAGCTCCACCAGTGTCTGCGTTCCCAGCTGCTCGTGGTACTTGGTGGCGATCTGAACGCTCAGCTGCAGGTTCTGACGCAGGTTTGCGGCCAACATGACCCTTAAACACTCGACGGAGTCGCCCACAGACAGAGAGCCGAAGAAATTCACCAACCACTGACAGACGATGAGAAGAAAAAAAAAAACGTGAATCTTCGATACTACTCTGACAGACTTCTTGAATTCAATTTCAATTTAAACATTTAAAAATGTAACAATTCGAATTTCAAAGACTCTTGATATTCACACACAAAAGGTTACTCTGCAATAAAAACACGCTGCAAGCTTCAAAACTCAAAACTAACTCCCCAGTTTAAAATATAAATGATTCTGAAGCACTAGGATCTGAAATCTGTCACAATATCCCCTCGACACGCTCTTAACATGCCTCATCCTCGTCTGTAATCAAAGAGGAGCTTCTGAAAAACTCACGTCTGTCCTATCAATCACAAGAGCGATACTACTGCCAAGAAATTAAATACCTTTTTCGGTGCAAAAAACGTTGCTAGCTTTCTAAACTAACCTCGAGAAACATAATATACAAATGTGAAACTGCATTCCATGGGATAATATATACTGTAAGGTAGGGCTGGGCAGTGTCTGCGTTCCCAGCTGCTCGTGGTACTTGGTGGCGATCTGAACGCTCAGCTGCAGGTTCTGACGCAGGTTTGCGGCCAACATGACCCTTAAACACTCGACGGAGTCGCCCACAGACAGAGAGCCGAAGAAATTCACCAACCACTGACAGACGATGAGAAGAAAAAAAAACGTGAATCTTCGATACTACTCTGACAGACTTCTTGAATTCAATTTCAATTTAAACATTTAAAAATGTAACAATTCGAATTTCAAAGACTCTTGATATTCACACACAAAACGTTACTCTGCAATAAAAACACGCTGCAAGCTTCAAAACTCAAAACTAACTCCCCAGTTTAAAATATAAATGATTCTGAAACACTAGGATCTGAAATCTGTCACAATATCCCCTCGACACGCTCTTAACATGCCTCATCCTCGTCTGTAATCAAAGAGGAGCTTCTGAAAAACTCACGTCTGTCCTATCACAAGAGCGATACTACTGCCAAGAAATTAAATACCTTTTTCGGTGCAAAAAACGTTGCTAGCTTTCTAAACTAACCTCGAGAAACATAATATACAAATGTGAAACTGCATTCCATGGGATAATATATACTGTAAGGTAGGGCTGGGCGATATAGCAAAAAAAATATATCAACGATATATGTTTCATATCGTTCGGTATCGATAATTATTGACATTTTTTCTAACCTTTTTTAAAGCAGAGCAATAGAATTTTTTTTTTTAAATATAACCACTGTATTTTTAATTTGCCCACTTTATTAAGACAAACAAAAATATATATATATATAATATTTGTTTATTTACAGTCAAACACAAAACCTTATGTTTTATTTCTTATGTTTTATATGCAGATTAAATTAATCTTAAGGAAACTTTTGACTTGTTTCCCGAGGCCACAGGAGGGCGAAAAGAGCAAAATAATGCAGCTCATTAATTGTCATTCAATTCAAATAACTGTCTATAAAAACGTGCATAATGTCGACATTAACATATATAAATCAAATATAATTTAGCAAACTGCATAAACAGTTATGAACAAAACAGCATCATGTGTTTATGCATTGCTTAGCCTAATACAAAGAGACAGATCGCCCATCACAAAGATTGCATTTAAAAACAAATGAGACGCAGTGAAATGAAATAAACCTTCACAAATTCGCGTCGCGTTTTCTAAACGTTAAAACAGTTTTACCTTTGCATGACTTTCTTTGCATCTCTTGCATGAGACGCGAGTGCAGCAGTCATATTTGTCCGTCTAAAAATGCACTGAATATGCATCTGTGTGAATGGCTTGGTTTGGGTTTTCACCTAATCAAGATCTTCTCCACATTGAGCTTCTATATTTCTCTAATATTTTGAACGAATAACGCAGCAGCGGCGCGTCTCGTGGGCTCGACGAACAAAACATTAAGATGCAACAGCGTCACTTATTATCATCATCACCGCATCTCGCGCGCCACTGATGACGCTCCCTGACGCACTCCTAACATTCGATTGTACCATTTTTGTTTTCAAATGCAAATGTTTATTTGAAATTCGACTAATATTCATTTTTTTATTCACAATCTCCTCATCACAGGCAGGCACAGCACTCAATTCAGCATGTGTTCGTGTTTGTGTGTGCTGTCTGTGTCACTCAGAGCATATATCGTGTGCTATATCAAACATGTTTTATATCGTTATCGATGAAGGTGTACCGTCGATAAATATCGATACCATTTTATCGCCCAGACCTGCTGTAAGGGCTCATGTACAGACGTGTTTTACTGCAGTTTATGCATTTGTGAATCAAGCCAGTGACTATATGATCAAAGCTCGTTCTCTTGAGACTGCACACATAGGGTGAACCATTAAATATAACTATAAACAATAAAACAATTAATAACTGTAATAATAGTACTATTGTACTTCATTTATTTTTTTTTTACTTTATTTTGTTATTTTTTAAATAATTAACGAAAAATAGTGTGATAATATATTATATTTTAAAATAATTATTGAGTATTAAAATAACAATACAATTATTTCACTTAAAACTTAAAAAATACAATGCAAATATTTACATTTTATGTATTTTTTTAATACAATTTTCTGCATTTTCAAACCTAAAATCTGCAAACTTTTATTTTGGCGGGTTGCCGAATTATTATTTTAATTAAAATAAATTGTTAATAGTTGAAATTTTTTTTTTTAATTAAGCTAAGGTTGAATGTTTATTTTATTGTTATTAATACAATTTAATTCATTCAATTCATTAAAATACATTGTTAATAATTAAATTAAAAACTGTCAATGTAAGCTAATGTTTAATGTTTATTTTATTGTTATATATTCAGTTCAACTCATTCAATTCATTAAAATAAATGGTTAATTAAATGTAAAAATGTAAATGTAAGTTATATCTAATGTTTATTTTATTATTATACAGCCTGGCCAAAAACTCTCCATATCTGCTTCACCACCTCGGGGTGAAGCATCCATTCACTGGGCCTCGGCCCCTGCCTCAACAAGATGTCTGCTCCCATATTGAGATGCCCAGGAATACTGTGTGTATCTCCGCTCGTGATGTAGCGTGGGCAGGGAGGAACACACAGTCTGTAACGCGATCTGCCAACACACACAGAGAGCTTAGCTGAATGACAGAAAGCTAGCGCCGGCTGCACCTCACGTGCTTTTAAAGCTTCCTGGTCATGACGTCACCCGCCGCTGACGTCTCGCCCATCGTTCGACTGATTACACATATGATTCAGAGCTTGGTATCACTGAAGGCGTTCCCCTAGCGTTTTCCGACGCAGCTCGAGTTCCCGAAGGGGAAACACTGGTTCTCAGATGGTTCAAGTTAACAAGTTTCTAATGTTGTGGTGGGACTCGTGTTGGCTCATCTTGTGTAAATCTGCTGTGAACGCATCCGTTAGCATAGAGCACTATCTTCTGGAACTGAGCCGTCTCAGCAAAGCATTGGATGACTTTCGCAGGAACATTCGCTCGCAGGTAAACGCTGAGGGCCAGAGTGATGTCAGCGGCCCTCACCAGATCACCCAACTCCTCCGAGCACTCCAGCTGCAGGGCATCATGGGAAAAAACCAACACTCAAAACTCACTGTTAACTAAATCTAAAACTGTTAAAGGGGTGGTTGATTGCGATTTCACTTTTTTATTGTTAGTTAGTGTGTAATGATGCTGTTTGATCATAAACAATATCTGCAAAGTTATGAAGCTGAAAGTTCAATGCAAACGGAGATATCATCTTTTAAAATTCTGGCAGTTTAATGCCTACAAAAACGGCTGGTAGGGACTACAACGAGTTACTTCCTGGGTTCGTGACATCACAAACCCAGATAAACCCCGCCCTCGGGAAAAGGCAGCAAAGGGGGCGGGGCCATGCTCCGCTGCTTCAGAGAAGAGGAAGAGAAAACTAGAAACTGTGCACGTAAAAATCATTTCATATATGAATCGCAATTCTGTCTTCTAACGATTCTAATGGATTCACAAGTTTCAGAATCAATGCTCTAAAGCAGAGGTTCTTAATACTGTTCCTCGCGTCCCCTGCTCTCCACACGCTCTGTATCTCTCTCTCTTTCTCTCTCGCTCTCTCTCATTCAGCTCAGCTCCAACAATGAACTGTTCCAATTATACAATAATTTTCACATAGCTATATGAGAAGCATTAAACATGGATGCGCATGCGGTTGCTGTACTGTATTAAAGCTTTAATCAGAATAAAACCGTATATTAAAAGCTAACATAAGCAGTAGCATTTACAAATAACAGTGTATCTAAAAGTATGAGACAACAACAAACATAGGCCTACCATTAAAAGCCGTGCTTGCACAGGTTCTGCACGATCCTCTTCAATAATATCCTCTGCTTCTCAATCGGGCTCAAACTGATAAGCGATATTAACGATGCCGTTGTTTACAATACAACCGGAGCACATGCCGCTGAGGTGAGGGGCGGGACGTTTAGACGAGCACTAGAGGTGGTTTAGCCAATCACAACACACTAGGCTAGCTAACCAATCAGAGCCCATCGCCTATTTCTGAGGGCGGGGCTTCATAAAAACGGGAAAAGATCAGCACTTTTTTCAGAGAAGGGACAGAGCGGTGTGGAATAAAGGTAAATTATGTGAAAAATAATGAATTTTTTAAATGAAGCATTAACACACGTTAGACTGCACCTCATAAACACAATCAAGCCTAGAAAAAAAATCAGTGAACCACCCCTTTAACATTTTTTAAGGCAACATTGAAATAACATTTTACGGCAATTGAAATAAAGCTGTAATAAAATTAAATTGACAATTTTAAACACTGCCTTGGCAACTAAACGAAAAAAAAAGTTGAAGCACTAAAAATCTATATATAAAAAAAAAAATGAAAAAAGCACATATCAAAATGACTAAAACGTAAAATAAAATTAAAATGAAAACTGAAAACATTTTATAAATACTAAAATAGGACAACAATCCAACAGTCATTGTTAACTAAAACTAAAACTGTCATAAAATAAACTATAACTATTAGATGAAAAACTGAATCTTGAAAGGCTTAAATGAACATTAGTAACGGTCTTGTATCGGATTGCAGTTTACCAGGTAAACATTTTTATATATAATAATTATATTAATATTTAATATAATTTTAATAAGGCTTAAAACTTTCATATTCCGTTTTTTTTTTTTTTTGGAATACCTCATAAATAAATAAAAACTAATAAAGCTCCTAATCTCAACAGATCATGAAAAATATCCACGTTTATTTATATTGACAAATTAAGCACATCAATTTAAACTTCACTTTGCACAGACACAAACATTAATAAAATAATCAATAAATTAATAATTAAACTTCTTGTAAAAAAAAAAGGTTACTCATAATAAATAATAATATTTAATTATAAATAATAATAATAATAATAATAATAATTAATAATAAAAAACTTAAATAAATAAATCTGCCTAAAAATGCTGTCTAAACTTAACTTTTATTTTCCAAAATACACAAATGCACAGATATGTCGAATTAAATTAAATTTAATTAAAAATAAATTGATAAGTAATATACTTGAGCCTGGAGCAGAAAAGCAGTGTTAAGTCGCTGGGGGATATTTGTAGCAATAGCCAACAATACATTGTATGGGTCACAATTATACATTTCTCTTTTATGCCAAAAATCATTAGGATATTAAGTAAAGATCATGTTCCTTGAAGATATTTTGTAAATTTCCTACCGTAAATATATCAAAACTTAATGTTTGATTAGTAATATGCATTGCTAAGAACTTAATTTGGACAACTTTAAAGATGATTTTCTCAATATTTAGATTTTTTTGCACCCTCAGATTCCAGATTTTCAAATAGTTGTATCTCAACCAAATATTGTCCGATCCTAACAAACCATACATCAATGGAAAGCTTATTTATTCTATTCTCTTATTGATCTATAAATCATCTTATGACAGGTTTTGTGGTCCAGGGTCACAAATGGGAAAGAGCAATGAATTTTCCACCTTCTCTCCTTTGAGCCATTTCTCCAGCAGCTGTGTTCGTCCCTGCTGCAGCACCGGCCTGCAGAGCTCCACCGACTCCAGCTTATTGAGCTGCCCGCGGTCCAGCAGGACCCCGAAATACTGCAGCAGCGCAGATGGCTGGCCCCCCTGCGCCGGGACGGCCTGGAACCGCCGGATGGTCTCTGCCGATCGCAACACACCCTGAGAAGCAGAGAGAGGATTCAGAGACAAGCGTGTGTGTTTTTCACAGTGATTCTGTGTGACTCAGGTTTGAGCTCTCCGAGTGTGTGTTTTTCGGGGACCTTGGGAGCCGACGCAGCGACTTTGGCCGCCTCGGTGTAGCTGCCCTGAGAGAAGAGCGTGTTGAACTTGTGTGTCAGGAGCTCCTCGGCTCCGGGGAGATCGCTGCGTAACGCTAAACGTAACGCCAGCTCGGGATTCTGCAGCACGTTAGCCACGTAATTTACTATGTTCTCCTCCTCCAAGCACACACACACATACACACACAACACTGATGATGCAGCACCTCACACACACACACACACACACACACAAGCACACACACACGCACACACACAAGCACACACACACACACACAAGCACGCACACACACACAAGCACATACACACACAAGCACGCACACACACACAAGCACACACAAGCACACACACACATACACACACAAGCACACACACACACAAGCACACACACACACACAAGCACACACACACACACACACACACAAAATGTAATAATTAGAATTGCACAGAGAAGAAAACAGAAAATAGTTGGAAATTTAAAATTTTAGGCAGATTGGGAACATCTAAACCAATAATAATTGGTTATAATAATAATAAAATGTAATCTTATTTATTTGTTTGTTTATTCATGATTATAATTTTATATTTCATTATAATTATAACTTTGGAATACTTGTTTCTGATTGGTCAAATTGTCATTTTAAAAGCTGCTTTTGAATTATTGTATTTAATTATTATATTTATTTAGTTTTATATGTATCTATTTTTAATTATTGTTTTGATTTTAGTTATAAACATAACTCTGGAATACTTGACTCTCATTAGTCAATTGTCATTTTAAAACTGTTATTCTTAATTATTTATTTATTTAATTCTAATTATTATATTTTGTTATAATTATAACTCTGGAATATTGAACATCATTGGTCATATATAGACACAAGACAGACAGATAGATAGAATTAATAATAAAGTCAAAATATATAAATAAAATGGATAGAATAAATCAATTAAAAAATAAAAATAAAAACGAATAAAGCTCCTAATCTCAACAGATCGTGAAAAATATCTATGTTTATTTATACTGACAAATTAAGCACATCAACTTAAACTTCACTTTGCACAGACACAAAATTTAATGAAATAATTAATGAGTAAATAATTAAACTTCTTGTAAAAAAAATATTGTTATTTTTTACTACTTTTTTACTCAGGAATACTTGACTCTCATTAGTCAATTGTCATTTTATAAAGCTGTTTTGTTGAATAATTATATTTTAATTATAATATATTTATTTAGTTATATATAATTTGAATTATTATTTTAGATTTATTTCTAATCATACCTCTGGTATACTTGACTCAAATTTGTCATCTGAAGAGCTTATTTTATTTTATTAATTATTATTTTCTATTTAGCTATAATTATAACTCCTTCCACAGAATAAAATAATTTACACTCAAATCAATATACAAAAAATAAAACATAGGTAAACAGATAATATATATATATATATATATATATAAACCAGATAGACAGATAAACAAAAAGAATAACTTTGAGCTTCAGAGTTTCGGAATAACAATAAAACTTGTAACTTATAATAACAGACGAACCCAGTTCAATATTTGAATAAGATTCATGTGCTCGTGATTTAGTAAAGGACATACAGTATAAGATGCACAATTCTGGACTCCAGAAGCACGTTTGAGTGTGTTTTTGTTCTGTTTTCTTGTTCAGTTGTATTTAGTTAGTATTTTCAGTGTTGCATGTACAGATGTGTGTACCTGCCCCTTCTTATTGACCCCGATGACCCCGGATGTGCTCTCATGAGCGGCCGTGACGAATATGGTTTCAGCGCTGATGCGGTTCATGTAAATGCACACGCCCGACTCCAGATCATACATGTGAAAATAACCGTATTTAGTGATGAGGTAGATGACGCCGTGCTTAGTCCCCATCTGAGAGAGAAAACACAGAAGCTAATTCTACATGTGCTCAGTTAACAGAGTGCATTAGTGCAAGCATTTTTTCCATTCATTTTTCCCATTGGGATTTTTAAAAGAGTCCACATTAAAGCGTTATAAGATTTGATCCAAACCAACCAGCTACGAGGAGAATCACAACATCACAAACTTTGATTTGAAGCAAAAAAAAGTAGGCTATTTGAAAATTGGACAAAAAGACAAAGATACAAGACAGTGAAAATCCTGTCATACTATTTAGCTTTGAAAACTTCATCGCTGTTTTCATGTTTATTAATACTTCTTCATGTAATGCAAGTTTTTTTTTTTCAGCCAAACCACTTTGACTGTAACGGGGCTGACGAGACGTGAGACGTGTGGATCCATCTGCAGGCTTTATTAAAGAGACGTGGTACACAGGCAGGGTCAAACACTGGCAAACAGGTATATGGCGGGCAAAACACAAGAATAGTCCTAGGGCTAGCGTAGGTCACCGATCAGCAGACAGAATCACAGGGGCGAGACGAGAGGGAGAAATCCAAGGAAACGGGCAAAGATCAAAAACCGCAAAAACAGGCAAGGCAAAACAAGGTAGACTCAAAAAAGGGTGCAGGCTAAACAATACTCAGCAGAGAAATGTGGTTAGAGTGGGTGTTATATAGTGAGTGAGGTAATTAGAAACAGCTGTGTGCAATGAGTGCAATCAGGGCAGTGTGCAAATTGTGCAAAGAATGATGGGATATGTAGTCCGGGGTGCTATGCAACAGTTTGTGTAGTGCGAGAGTCAATGAAATGGAAAGGGTGACCTCTGGTGGTGAATAAACAGAAGTCCATGGACTGAATTCGTGACATTGACGTAAAATATTCTCTTAGGAAGTGAATATTTCAATAATTTAACAAAACTTTTGCATGTTCACAGCTCTCTGATGTCGGTTAATGGTCACATAGACATGCAGTTAAACAAATTAAATATTTTTATTTTTAGTGTTCAAGTGTTTTGTTTTTCTATTTTACATTTTTATGATTGAATTAATTATTAGCGTTTTAACAACTCACAAACCCACTGCAGTTCTTACATTGACCCCATGCTGGGAAACCCTGGAGTAATGTAATATTTAATGCATTTTATGACAAATGTTTTATGAAAAAAAAATCAAAGAATTAAATATATTTTCTTTATGTGCTTTTTTTATATCAATGGGGTACATTTAATGGCAAGTTGAAAGCAAGTTAGGTGTAGTCCGGGGTGCTATGCAACAGTTTGTGTAGTGCGAGAGTCAATGAAATGGAAAGGGTGACCTCTGGTGGTGAATAAACAGAAGTCCATGGACTGAGTTCGTGACATTGACGTAAAATATTCTCTTAGGAAGTGAATATTTCAATAATTTAACAAAACTTTTGCATGTTCACAGCTCTCTGATGTCGGTTAATGGTCACATAGACATGCAGTTAAACAAATTAAATATTTTTATTTTTAGTGTTCAAGTGTTTTGTTTTGTTTTTCTATTTTACATTTTTATGATTGAATTAATTATTAGCGTTTTAACAACTCACAAACCCACTGCAGTTCTTACACTGACCCCGTGCTGGGAAACCCTGGAGTAATGTAATATTTAATGCATTTTATGACAAATGTTTTATGAAAAAAAAATCAAAGAATTAAATATATTTTCTTTATGTGCTTTTTTTATATCAATGGGGTACATTTAATGGCAAGTTGAAAGCAAGTTAGGTAAAAAAAAAAGTAATCTAAATGTAATCTAGAAAGTAGTGCTGTCAAAATGAACGCGTTAACGCATGCAATTAAAAATGTAACGTAATTAACGCAGGGGCGGAGCTAGGGTTCTGCTTCTGTCTTTTTCTCTTGACAAGAATTGCATTTATTTAGTCACAGAACGTCTTTACGAGCACATCAAACGGGAGACTTTCAGACGCGCACTCCAACTTCACCTCAGCGTCAGGCGCGAGTCAAACGAGAAAAGATACAGGAGCTTCAGTAACTACAGTGAACTGCAGTCAGATGAGATGCTGTCAGGCCGTATGTCAGTAAAAACCAATTTTCCTGTGCTGTCAGCCGGTATACTGTGCTCGTAGCACATGCTCTTCAATTGCACGCACAAATGCAGCGGCACGCGCTGTAGCCTCATTTCATATTAAAGCGCAAAAGAAACTACGAGCATGCAATGTCATAGTAATGTCGTCATGAAGTTACCAAAAAGGCGATTAAAGCTGCCTTAAAACTGTGCATGTATATAAGTATTTGTTATATGAGTCAGATTTAAAAACATGTCTCTGAAATGCAATGGTTTTCAGAACTGTCCTGGAGCAGCAGCACTGTCTCCCTCATCTAACACACCCGATTCAACTACTCAGCTCATTATAGAGACTTTAACAGCTGAAGTGTTATGGTAAAGAGTTATGAGAAACTAGGCTGCGTGTCAGATCCGCGTCACGTTCAGCAGCGGCAGCTCTTAAAGCAGCCAAAATAACTGAATATGTCATGAGATGCTGTCAGGCCGTATGTCAGTAAAAACCAATTTTCCTGTGCTGTCAGCCGGTATACTGTGCTCGTAGCACATGCTCTTCAATTGCACGCACAAATGCAGCGGCACGCGCTGTAGCCTCATTTCATATTAAAGCGCAAAAGAAACTACGAGCATGCAATGTCATAGTAATGTCGTCATGAAGTTGCCAAAAAGGCGATTAAAGCTGCCTTAAAACTGTGCATGTCTATAAGTATTTGTTATATGAGTCAGATTTAAAAACATGTCTCTGAAATGCAGTGGTTTTCAGAACTGTCCTGGAGCAGCAGCACTGTCTCCCTCATCTAACACACCCGATTCAACTCCTCAGCTCATTATAGAGACTTTAACAGCTGAAGTGTTATGGTAAAGAGTTATGAGAAACTAGGCTGCGTGTCAGATCCGCGTCACGTTCAGCAGCGGCAGCTCTTAAAGCAGCCAAAATAACTGAATATGTCTGTTCATCAAAGAACAAATTTAAAAAAAGATCAAATCAATCACTTCTGCACCTTTAAGGATTCATCTATATTTAATTTAGAATTTAGTGTTTGATACATTTATTCAATTTCTGTATATTTCCTGCTTGCTGAAGGGCACAGGTCGCTAAATATGACATTTATTATAATGGGTTTATATGAAGATTGTTTTAAGTTCACTTAAATTAGAAGTTGTTATTTTCTAAAGTCTAATAATGTTAATTTATGTTGAATGGCTGTAGTCAATGGTTAAATATTAGAAGAAAAATAACAATTTCCTAGAGACATCATTAGTATTGGTATCAGTGATACACGCCTTCAGTCATAAAAAAGATGCCATTAAACAAATATTAAACATATACTGTCTTAATGTTGTTTCTACATTAATTTGAAGATTGAATGTGAAATTATTGCAATATAAAAGTATATTTAAAAACTTTAATGTTAGATGGGATTAATCGCAATTAATTTCAGAAAAAATGTGCAATTAATTACTTAATTTTTTTTAATCAATTGACAGCACTACCAGAAAGTAATCAGAACACATTACCTAAAACAAGTAACCGAGATTACATTACTAACTACAATTTTCATCATGTAATCTGTAATCAGTATGGACTACAATTTGAATGTAATCTGCTAAAAACATAATTAAATTAAATACGACGGAGAAATATAAAACTATTAATTTAAAGTTGTTGGTTGTATCTATAGATACATTACATTTTATTTCTATTGCATACATATACAAATATTTAAGTATTTTGAGAGCATAGGGAGATCGACTCGATTTTGAATTTTCTGCAAACCATCATGGGTAATGTAGTTTTCCACCACAAATTCTGCTATAAAACATGATTATTTAAAAAAATAAGTTGAATTAATGTGAACATATGGGTTCAACATTAGCATATACAATCGATTAACAACCTCAGCGCTCTAAACAGGGCTGTCTTTAAAGGTTTATCAGTTATTGTCAAAAATCAATTTCTCTATGGAGAAAATGAATGGAGTTTTTACTTCCGCTCTATAGTGTGGTAACGTTTGACCTGCATGGCCACAGGAAAGTCCGTCTGCGCTTCAGGAGGGAAAAACACGTCCACTGCTTTCTTAGTGAACGGCTGGTTACCGGCCTGAGGCTGACCGACCTCGATGATGTGCAGCTGGAGAAGACCAGAAACAGCTTTATACTCCAGAAAAGCACTCAGCTCAAAAGCTATCTGAATGTGACGTGGCCTGACGTCACCTTTCCTCCAGCCTGCCCTCTGACGCCGAAGCAGAAGAGCGTGGAAGCGTTTGGGTTTCCCTCCAGTTTATAAAGTCCAAACGCAGCCGAGTGACCCTCGATGGGCTGAGAAACCTTCCGGTCCACAGAGAACAACTGCATGGCACCGACGACCCGATTCTGCTGCAAGAGCCAGAGACGAAGACAGACTTACACACAAACTGACATTCACAAACTAAAGACACATTCAATTCATACTTTTATTCATCAAGGATGCATTAAATTAATCAAAAGTGACAGTAAAGACATTTATAATGTTACAAAAGATTTCTATTTCAGATAAATGCTGTTCTTTTGAACTTTCTGTTCATCTGTGAATCCTGAAAAATACAATGAATCACAGTTCCACAAAAATATTGTGCAGCACGACTGTTTTTAACATTGATAATAATCAGAAATGTTTCTTGGGCAGCAAATCAGCATATTAGAATGATTTCTGAAGATCATGTGACACTGAAGACTGGAGTAATGATGCTGAAAATACAGATTTATGTCACATGAATAAATTACATTTTACTATATATTTTAATTTTTTTTGGGGGGGGGGGTTAATTTCTAAAAAAAAAAAATTCTAAATTACATTTATTTTTATTTTATAAATATCTTTAATTTAATTTTACTTAAATTTTAGTTTTAATAATTTTAGTACTTCAGCTTATTCAGCTGATTAGGTTTATTAAGTTGAAGTTTTTCATTCATTATATATTTTATTTCAGCTTTATTTCAATTACTGAAAATGATTTTTAATAGTTTTAGAATTTTTTTAAGAAATGTAAGATTAAATTAATAATAAATGTTTTTTTTTTTTAATTCAAAGTACAGCAGTTACAAAAAATTAAAAACCATAAAAATCTAAATACATAAAACATAAAATTTGGAATAAAAAAAACAATCAAAATAAAACACTTACCAAAAATTAAATAAAAAATACAATCAAAATAATAAGAAACAAAAATAAAACACTTACTAAAAATGTATTATATTTATTACTGATATTTTTTAATTAAAAAATTAAAACACAATAGTTTCTAAAAATTTAATAATTTAATTGCAGGATGCGAGATAAAATGTCCAACACACACACTCACACACACACACACACACACACACTCACACACACAAACAGACACACACTCACACACACTCTCTCTCTCACCTGCGCTGATATCCCGATGAGCAGGAGCCACTTCTGCTGCTCGTCCGTTCTGTAGTTGATGATCTGGCATCCCGCGAGGCTGGCGTGACGATCGAACACCTTGATTGGCTGAGAGTCTCCCTCCATGCTCCAATGATAGACGGCCGTGTCCGTAACCAGGGCGATGGTGTTAACCGAGATCCACCTCCAGAACAGCACTTCATCCGTCATAGTGTGAGCCTTCACTTTACTCTTCATCTCCATGTTAAAGATCTGCAGCGTCCGCGCCGCTGCGGGACACACACCACACGCGACCTTTGACCTCACACACTAAACACTGAATATCAGCAGTGCTGGGCATAACATGATTACTCAAATAATTTGGATTACTTTATTTGAGTTATTTTGTCTTGAAATGCCCCCAAAATGGTGCAGATCAGCTGTTTATTAATAAACACAATTAAAAACATTCCCATTAACTGCATCAAAAGGCCGAAAATGAAGGTCGTTTCAGAGATAGAGCTAGTTATTACATTTTGATGAAAGATTATGAAGACAAGCATTTCTTTAGAATAACATGCACTGATGAATCATTCAGAAATGTGAATTACAGAAGTAAATATTGATTTCATGTTGACTTTAAAAGAAATATTACCCAACACTAAGTTTTATTGCTGAATATAAGAAATGATCTAATACTGTACATTAGTTAATCATTATCATTAATCATGACCTAATATTAAATGTTTAATGTTTTGCCTGTATTTATCACAAACACAGATGAGACAATAACTGTGTGCAGCACTGAAAACATTATTTTAGTATTAATTATATATTACAGTATTTATTAATATTTTTGAATTAGCTTTTATTTTTATGATTATAGTCATAATTTTTTATATTTTTTATTTCTGCTTAATTTTCATTTCGATTTTAGTTTTAATCATATTTGTCCTTCAGCTCAAAAATGTAGGACTAAAATGATTAAATAATTTTAAAACAAAAAACAAATCAATATCCAACACTTGCTAAAAATTAATAAAATCATTAAAAAAAATTAAAATAAAAATGATCAAAATAAAGCATTTACTAAAAACGAAAAATCACAAAAATGTACAATTAAAACAAAAATAACTTTTAAATCAAATGCTTGCTAAAAAATTTAATCGTAAAAAATTTAAATTAAATGATTAAATTCCCAAGAAAAGTTTTAAGACTATTAAATAACTCATTTTAGCTAAATAACAACACTGGTCTACAGACAGACTGAGCCGGATCACATGATGTGCTCGAGTACAGATTACACACGATAAAGCTCTGAATGTCAAATACTGTAAGTTCATGAACCGGGAAGTGATGAAGAAAAGATTAAGAGCGGATCAATAAAGCTGGAAGAGCAGGAATGTTTCACTGTAACACTATCAAACACGCATTCCATTAAAGAGACACTCATGTTTAACACTAGCGCTTGATTTAAAGGCACAATATGTAAGATTGTTTTATTAAAATATCCAAAAACCACTAGAACAGTGTTATATATTTTGCTGACTTGTGTACTTACATTATCCCAAATGTTTCGAAGAATGTTTAAATCCAGAGAAATAAGCAATTTTAACTAGTGACACGGACCGTGTCCATAGTGTTATCACGTCGCCTGCTAATGACGTCATAACCCCTCGATTTCCGGTTTTGTTTAATATGTTGTGTGTTTTATTAGACCGGTGCCGACCGCACAGAGTAGCATTATAACAGAACTTTCAAATGTATCTAGTATGATAAAAGCTCCGCTGCTTTACCCCACATACGCACGACCGGAAGCAGCGGAAGCGCTCGACTGTGGCATAATAAAAGCCCCGCTATTTTACCCCACATACGCACGACAGTAAGCAGTGGAAGCGCTCGACTGTGGCATAATAAAAGCTCCGCTGCTTTACCCCACATACACACGACCGGAAGCAGCGGAAGCGCTCGACTGTGGCATAATAAAAGCTCCGCTGCTTTTGAGCCGTGTGTCACGCTCGTTCAGCGCCTCGTTTCGCTTCGACAGCTTTCAGCCTCACCCTGCTTCATACTACTACGTTAATAAATCATTAGCTCATCATGAACATGATTTCTGCACACATGAACATGAATTTTTTAATTTTTTATTTTATGATTTATTTCATTTTTAGATTTTTAGTAAGGGTGTTATTTTGATTAATTTGAAAAAAAAAATCTAAATAAAGCATTAACAAAAAAAATTTATATTATTTTAAATTATTAATAAGTAATCAAAACATAATAAAAATAAAACACAAAAATTTTATATTAAAAATGTAAAATTAATAAGTAATCAAAACATAATCAAAATAAAATACTTACAAAAATGTAATATTAAAAATGTCAAATTAAAATATATCAATAATTAAAAAACACTTACCGAAAATGAATTAAATTACAAAAATGTAACAAATAAAATAAATCATTAAAATAAATATACAAAAAAATTAATTAAACTGAATTTGATAAATTAATGATTAAATGATTATTAATTCATGAAAATTAAAATAATAAAAAAATCTAAATAAAATACAGTCTATTACCAAATCCTAACCCTAACAGAAAACCTTATGCATTTTTACAATTAAAAAACTACTTAATTTATTTTTATATAGGTTTTTTTTTTTTTTTACAAATGAGAACATCCCTGGACGTCTGCAAAAGGAGTGCAACTTTGGCCCCAAAATGTGGTTAAGGAGGAACACATACACACAATGCTCATGCATACGTCAGGAACAACACTCAAGCGGCCTTCAGTCAACTGGACACAGACGTTTACATACATATGAGACGGTATATATGTATGTTCCAGCAATGATCAGAGCACAACGGTTGACAGCCATCATTTCAGAACGACGGAGAAACTCACCATCTTCAACAAGAGCAGAGCGAGAGCGGGTTAGGGGTTAGAGCGAGAGTTAACATTTCTGAGAAGCATATCAGAGGACAACAACATAATGAAGCCTGTCAGACTGAGACACAAGCATCAGCCGTGAGCGGATCAGCACCTTTCAGAGCGATGACTTTGCTGGCCGGGTTCATGATGGCGCTGTCTGCCGTGATCGGCCGGCGGATCGGCTCGCTCGGGTCGCTCAGGTCCACGATCAGCACCTGGTTCTGCTCGCCCACCTTCTCTCGGATGCAGATGAAGCGGTCCGACTCCATGGTCAAGCAGCTGAAGCTGATGCTGGCTGGACTCACTCCCAGCGTCTGCAGCTAGAGGGCGACAACAGTCAGAAAAACACTGCAGAACTCCACCGGTCCGAACTAGCTGATTCAATAAAGGCAAAATAATTTTATGATTTTTATATCATTATTAATTGATATATACAAAAATCATAAAATGTCAAATGAAAGTAAATGTAAAATAAAAACACTTAAAATTTTAAAATTCCTAAAAAAATTAATCATTAAAATTGTAACATTAAAATGAATAATTTTAATATAGAAATAAACCAAATTAAACACTTAAATATAAAATAATTAATACAAATGCTCAAAATACAAAAAAAATTAAATAAATCATAAAATGTAAAATAAATGTATTTTTAATTTATATTGTATTATTTATTTAATTTTTATTAAGCATTTCATTTTAATGAATTTTAAAAAAATTTAATTTAAACATAGAAATGTAAAATTAATAAAACATTAAAATTTAAAATATAAAATAAAACAAACAATTAAATTAAATGTAATTTTAATGAATTTTTTTTAAAATTACAAATAAAAATAAAGCCATTTAAACATAAAACGTCAAATAAAATTAACATTAAAAAATAAAAATAATTAAAATTAAACTAAAAATTGATTAAATCATAAAATGTAAAATTCTAATGAATAAAGAAAAATAAAAACTACACAATTAAATCATAAAAATCTACAATTAATGAATATTCATAACATTTAAAATCTAAATAAAACAAACAATTAAATCAAAACATATAAAATTAATAAACTGAAAAATAAAATAATAAAAATAATAAAATGTAAAATTAAAATGAATAATTATAAAACTAAATAAAAATATATAATCAGAATATATCATAATCAAAAATGATATCATAAATATGTAAATAAAAATTTCAAAATAAAACTATTTATTTTATTTGTTTACCTGCATGTCATGTGACCTTTGACATCAGACAACCATGAACATGTGAATGTGTCATTGTAACTGAAATATTAACTCGAAAACTCAGGGGTACGTTAAGTAAATATTTTAGGTCAAATGGGTTCAGCTGACAAACAAAAAAAAATCTAATTGGGTCATTCCTGCAAAAAAGCATCAAGCGATAAAACAACTCTGGTGTTAATCAAGAGTTTCTGTTCTAACCAGCGTTGAAGTTCAAGATATTTTGACATTATCTTTGATATTTTCCTTAAAGTAAACTCTCAGCACAGCCGTATATTAAACATGAAACATGTCCTGATGCTGTTTCATGGGTGTTTGGGTCATGCAGACGGCTGAAACCTCACACTCTTCAGGGCTCAGGAGCTTCTCTCGGGGCTCTGAGTGATTCACTGCTGAGAAACACGGCGTCTGACGGGAACATACTGCTTATGAAAGGACCTGGAGATACTGTATAGTAGCCTACGGCCAACACACACACACACTCACACAGACACACACACACACACACACACACACATGGTGCGTGTGCATGTCCAACACCCTGACACAGCACACTCAAAGTGAGAAATTAAATTTCTCATCCCTATAAGAACTGCTGCATCTGCGTTTTCACAGCGGTCTGTATTTATTTGCAAACACACACACACACCCACGCACGCACACACACACACACACACACACACACACACACACACACAGACACACTCACAGACATACACACTCACGCACACACTCACACAGACACACACAGAGACACACACTCACACACACTCACACAAACACACACACTCACACTCACACTCACACGCACACGCACACGCACACGCACACACACATGCACACACACACACACACACACACACACGCACACACACACACAGAGACACACACACACACATACACAGACACACACACACAGAGACACACACACAGACACACACACACACACAGACACACACACTCACGCACACACTCACACAGACACACAGAGACACACACTCACACACACTCACACAAACACACACACTCACACTCACACTCACACGCACACGCACACGCACACGCACACACACATGCACACACACACACACACACACACACACGCACACACACACACAGAGACACACACACACACATACACAGACACACACACACAGACATAGACACACACACACACTGAGTCAGAGGAAACGGAGCTACAACACTTTCCTCCCTTTTCATCTCTCAGCGTTACTGACTCCCTCAAACACACACACACACTCTCACACACACACATACACACACACACACACACA